CTTTTTACCTGCGTAGATATGAGAATAAGAGGTGGATTGGAAGATCGAAGGTACGAGATCGGAGCTCGAACCGTTTGAGTTCCAGCAAAATGCATGTGAAGTGTTTGCTAAAATGCCGCATAGAAAGCCATAGCCGCCGGAGAGAGCTGCTATGGGAGGGATTTGGGAGGAATAGAGAGATGGGTTTGAAGACCAAGAAGAAGAGGATGCAGCGGAGGTGGTTGTGGTGTTCTTGCCCCAGCAGATCACGGCTTGCTTGCCGCTGGCGTCAATGGCGCAGAAGAAGGCGTCGACGCCGAATGCGGCAGAGATGGGGCCCATCGATCCGAACCCAGATGACAATTCGATGAGTGTGACGAGGAGGAGGAGGAGGAGAAGGAGAGAGAACCCAGAAAGGGACCTTCTTAGGATTTTAGTCATGGTTTGGTGATTGGGTGTTGATGGGTTGGAATCAGTAGTGTCATGGAGTGTTGGGCGAGAGGTGGTTGGTGGTGGTGGTGGCGGCGGTGGCGGCGAGGAGTGGGTGGTGGTGGCGAGTAGGTGGCAGGTGGGTGGTGGGTGGCTGGTGGGTGGTGAGTGGTGGTGGCAGCAGGTGGTGGTGGGGGTAGGTGGTGGGTGGTGGTGGCGGAAGACAGTGGTAGAAAATGGTGACGGGTGGTGGCTAGTGTTAGGTGGTAAAAAAAAAAAATTTGAAAACTCAAAACGGAAACATATTTTTTGTGTTTTTATTTTTTGGCCAAATTTATAAACTGAGACCACTGATTTATAAATCAAAAATTTTACCAAACAAGTTTTTATTTGAGTTTTTAAAATTTTTGTAAATATAAACAGAAAATTAAAAACGTAAGTGTTACCAAACGACACCTTTCAATCTCTAACACATCAATTATTTATTTTTTCTCTCTCCGCTCTTCTCCTCAATTACACTCTCCTTCATGCACACATACTCAACTATAACAAAATATCAAATCATCTCAAACTCTCACCCTCCAAAACCTTTTTCAAAATATACAACTAAACAAACAAAAAAATTTCTAAACTCTTTTCTCAATTTTTTTTTTAAAAATTTATCTTCCAAAACCAAACCCAACACAGTTTAAAATTTTCAAAATGAATAATTATTTTGGAGCCAAGAGGGTAAATTATTACTATGCATCTGTCAAATCATCAGTTGAGAGAGTGATGAAAGGCAAATCATCAGTTATTCTCTGGCCCGTTTGTTTAGGTTATAGGAAAGGAATTGAAATTATTAATTTTTTTTAATATGAGGTACGCAAAGGATAAAAATGTCCTTTTACTAACATAGTGACATCTAGCTGGCCACAAGCCTTGGTACCCCGGCTACAGGAGGCTACATGGCCTTTTTTTTTTTGTGAAAGAGGCTGAAATAGCCTGACCCATGAGTTGCCAAACACTGCCATTCTCTATTGATTGAATAAGCACCCAACATATGAATTAACACAGAATTTGAGATCAACTTATACAAAAGTCCTAAAAACGAAATCAAGAGCTTTCAGAATATAAAACAAAAATATAGCATAAATCCAGATACATACATATATTCCCATCAAAATTGGTAAAACATTTCCAAAAATTGATTCAAAAATTTGAAAATAGGGACTAGGGTATAGTGAGAATCATAGAGTGAGATATAGACAGAGAACAAGAGAGTGAGGGAGAGATGGAGTTTATGAATGAGAAAAAAAAAAAAGGAAAAGTAAGATTTTTTATTATATTACTTGTGTATATATATATTCAATATGATGTAACGATTTAAATTATTTTAATATTATTAAATAGTTAATAATTTATATGTATTTTTAATATTTATATATATAATTCAGGTTTCGGGTTGTTCAGATTGTTTGATGTCTTTGTCTAAATCTGTTCAAATTTAATTCGAGTTTCTAAATTTTTATCCAAACCCATAAATCAAACCAAACCAAACCAAGCCTTAAGTTCCATCAAATGGGGTCAGCTTTGTCCAAACCCATACTGAATTTAAAAATATTTTATTCAAATTTTAAAAAAATTCAGACTGGACTCAAATTGTTCGGTTTTGAGTCCGCCCAAGTTGCATCCCAATTTTTTACCCCTTTTCCTAGTAGTGCATCCTTTTATTTTTGGTAATTTTTGGCAAAATTTCACTTTTTACCTCAAATTATTGCACTTGTCTCGCTTTAACCCCTAAACTATCAATTTAAACAATTACCCCTTTAAAATGTAAACATTAGTTCACCATTATCATCACACAAAAATATTTATACACATAATTTGCTTAACGTGTACACATAATATCACCATAATTGTGGATGCATGTTGCAACCTTACAAACACAACTACCACCATTGCCATCATTCCATTATTTCATTACCATTGCTACAACACCGATGCTATTATTAGTACTACCATTTTCACCGTTACTATCGCCACAACTACCATTGCCACTACCACCACACAAGAATCATTGCCACCATCACGTAACCACGTTTGTAGCCACTACTATCACTAATATTACTTCATCACCTCTTTTGTTGGTATCATTATCACTCCACTATCACCCTACTTCATATTACTATTATCACCACCAAATTTTCATTATCAACCCACCATCACAATATAAGAGTGGAATATAAAAATTAGAAAATAAAATAATTTTAAAATCTCAAATTTTTGTTTATATCAAACAATATGACTAAATTTGGTGCTTGAATTTTAGTACATACCAAACAAATTTTCATATTGAAAATTCAACATTCATTTTTCAGTGTTTAACTTTCATTTTTATCTAACACTAACTTAAGCTTCAACAGTTTCAACAGTTATCACTCTCTTTTTCATAGCTATGCTTCAATATAATTATTATCCTTATTTTATAGAGTTTAAGTTTTTTTTTTTTTTTCTCTCTCTCTCTCTTTCTCTGAATTAATTGGGTTTGGCAAATGTTAAAATTTTGTTGCTTTCAGTGAGGTTTTTGAACAAAATTATCATTTTTTTTTTTACTTTGTAGATTATTCTAAACTATAAGATCCTTTTTTCTTTTTATTTTTTTATATATAGGAAGTACACAATTTTATAAGGTTTTGCTAAAAAAAATTTAAAAAGTTGAAAAGGTAATTTTTTTCCCCTCTCTTCAATGCATTTTTTCAAATTTAGTATTTTCTTTTGAATTTCAAGTCTTCTAGTCAAGTAGAATACAAAAAAAAAATTAAAAATATATTTATAAAAGTTCACTACAAGTTTAAGATAATACAACCAATAAAAAAGTTGTTTAAAAAACATTTGTCAAACTTCAAATTTAGTTTTAAATTTTTAGAATTGGGTTTAAAAAACATCATCCAATAAAAAATTACACATAACCTTGACATGCATAAGAACTACGGGTTTCAATCAGCTTAAACCGATCGAACCGAACCGATCTGTTGTATTTTGGATGGATGCGTGATGACGAGCGGGCGGTTACAGATTGATTTTTTTCAATCCCCCTAGTTTTGAACAGATGACAGATTTGAGATTTATTTGGCCATAACCAAACCGCAAGCACCCTAATAATTTGAAAGACTTTATATTTTCAATTTATTTAGATATTCTGTTTGTATTTTCAATTGAAAAAGAGTTTAGATATTCTGTTATATATTTAATTTGGAAATCCTTTTATCAAATGGCAAGTGTTGATATTTGGTAATTTCGTGCGGAAAATATAAGGCTTAATTTTGTCATTTTTAAAAAAAAATCAAATTAAATAGTTTTTGGATAAAAAAAGTAATGAAATAGTTTTGATAATGCATGGTTTACTTATATGAATTTATTATTGATATTTGACAATTTACTTGATAATCTTTTGGTTATATTTAAGGGTGTAAATCTGGCCCGGCCCAGCCCATGTTGGGCTCTCGCCAATTTGGGCCAGCCCACGAGCCAAAAAAATAGGCCCAGGGGTATTCGGGCCCTAGACAGGCCGGTAGGCTTGGGCCTGGCCTCAGGCTTGGGCGGGTCTAACCATTTTTTAAAAAAAATTTCCACCAAAATTTTATTATTTTTTACTAAAAAGACACTGGGCCTCGGATCGGATCTTGACTAGGCCTTAAGAGGGCCAATGGACTGGGTCACGGACCGAGGCGGGCTTCAAAATGATGGCCCAGGCCCAAGCCTGGCCCAGGGGCTCAAGTCAGGGCCTAAACGAGCCTAAACGGACTACGGGTGGGCCACGAGCTATTTTTACACTCCTAGTTATATTAAGTTGGGTTGTTATCCAAAAAAAAAAATTTGTTGACAAGCTGTTGTATTATGTTCAAAATTTGTAAAAGTTAAACCGCCAAACCGATTCGCATCTATCCACCAATCCGCCAATTCGCATCTATCAATCCAGTAGATAGATGCGGATTGATTTTTTTCAATTCGCCAATCCAGCGGACAGATGACTGATTGAAGGCTTTCTGACTGCAACCGAACCGCGAACACCTCACTTTCTTAGACAAAAAGTAATATTCAAATTTTATAAATGTTTTTTAATTTACCAACATGACACTTATTATATTAATTATTAAAAGTTCTATTTCCATTGCTAAAATTTTACGACATACCAGTTGTGGGGATATATTTTTGAGTACCAACACGTGGCAAGGTGACGCCGACGTGTCAGCCAAGATGCCACGTGTCCTGGTCGATATGCCAAGGTCACCTCGGTTAGGCCGAGGTTATTTTCGAAGATATCGGAATCCGAGATAAGCGGATAAGAGATAAGGGACAAGAGTCATAGAACAAAGAGGAGACTTGGCCAAGATAAAGATAAAGCTCTTAGGGAGTTTATCATTATCTCTTGAGGAGTCCAAAGTAAGTACTGAACAGGAATCCATAGAAGTCAGGCTTCTATTGGGATTAGGATTGAGGTAACTATAAAAGGAACCGCGAACACCTCACTTTCTTAGACAAAAAGTAATATTCAAATTTTATAAATGTTTTTTAATTTACCAACATGACACTTATTATATTAATTATTAAAAGTTCTATTTCCATTGCTAAAATTTTACGACATACCAGTTGTGGGGATATATTTTTGAGTACCAACACGTGGCAAGGTGACGCCGACGTGTCAGCCAAGGTGCCACGTGTGCTGGTCGATATACCAAGGTCATCTCGGTTAGGCCGAGGTTATTTACTGAACAGGAATCCATAGAAGTCAGGCTTCTATTGGGATTAGGATTGAGGTAACTATAAAAGAGAGTCACCCCCATGGGTCTAAGGTACGCAATTTATATTCTGTCTAGGGAGTTAAGCACTATTGATTATCTTTGAGAGATATACTGACTTGATCGTCGGAGTGCCCCCAGGTGGACGAACCACCGCGAAGTCTTCTCTTTCTGTTACAGGTTAGCCAGGTGTTATCTATTCTGCCAGTGCTCTCCAGCTGAATACTAAGCGGGCAGTGTGATTGGAAAATCACCCACACAATTTGCGCCGTCTGTGGGAAAGA